ACTGTGCGTGTCCTTCCAGGCCCCGGTCGAAAAGCCTGGGAGGAGGGCCGCTCAACTACCCCTGGAGGAGGAGCCATCTGGAGCCCCAGGCGCCGCGGCGGCCGAAGCAGCGCGGAGCGGGCGGAGCCGTCATGGCCCACTCACCGGTGGCGGTCCAAGTGCCCGGGATGCAGGTGAGGACGCCCCGGCGGCCGCCGCCGCCCACGTGACGGCCCGGGGCGCCCCGATGGTCGGGCGGGCGCTGGGGCCAGGTGAGGGGAGAGCAGCGCTCGAGGTGTTTCTTGGCGTCCGGGCCAGGTGGTGCTGTGCTCCCAGCAGGCGTGCAGGGACTGGGGCGCGCGACCGGATGGTGATGGGGGGCGGCCATCAAAACTGGGGGGACACCTGCGCCTGCGGTTACGGACTAGGGAGTGGGGGCTAAAGCTGCGAGAGCGACGCCTCAGAATTTGTCGGGTAAAAGGCGCGTCTCACCCTAGGCGGAGTTGGGGCGGGGCGTGCTCAGGGGTGACTGCGGCGTCGACATTGAATTTGGCTTTTCCTGTGTGTATTGAGAGAGGTGCCCGACTTCTTTCCCCCTTTTGGCGTGGTCCCTTCTTCGGGGAGAAGTTGCGTTTGGCTGCCCCACCTGGCCCCCGCTCCTGAGTGCGCGGAGAGACCGCCCTATTCGGGTCCTTGAGGTGAAGGCTTCCCCAACCTCTCGGCCTGGCCTTTCCACCAGCCAGTTGTATTTGCTTAAAGGAAGCTTCTTGCCCTTGATGGGGCGCCCGGGGGGTGGGGGGTGGGGGCAGGATGGCTGCGTGGATCCCAGCTTCTTACTTGAGATCTTCCAAGCCCCTTCGAAATTGTATATTAATTTTATTAACGAGCAGGGGAGTTTGGTCAAGAAACTTTATTTTTGCTGTTAAAAGTTTTACATCGGTGCATTTCCGAGCTACCTACAGATTGTTGGTCCAACTCTGTATGTTGAAGCCGTTCACATTTTTTCTCCCCTGCGCCCCTTTGCTAGAAAGCTTAAACAGCCTATTTATAAATAGGTCAGAAGCTATTAAGGACTCAGTCAGTCATTATCTTCTAACATGTGAAAGCAAACTTCCTTTTCAAGTTCAGGAGGAAAAAAAATCTTTGACTACTGAATAGACTTCGTATGTTTCTCATAGGAATCAAAGCACTGTGGATTCAGGGCCTCAATTTGCTTAATGATGCATGGAATTCGTCCTTTTTTTTTTTTTTTTTTTTTTAGTCCTTGGTCTCGTTTCATGCACAGCCACTAGAAAAAAACCCATTATTTTTAAAGAACAGCCCTTCCAAAGAAAGGGTCACTGGTGTTGGGCATCCATCGAACCCAGGCCTCCGTACACAAAGCCTTTTGGCCTTATTTAGGGCAAATTTGCGTGGAGCCTCAGGAAGTTGATGTGTATTTAATAAAAAATGAAAGAAAGAAGAAACGGAAATGGGAACTATTAAGGCATTGAAAAAGTTGATCCTTTCAAACTTGACAAAATGCCTTAAACTGTCTCCTCTGTCCACTTTTCCCTGCCCTCCCCCCTCCCTTCACTTTGCCTCACAACCCATTCACTGAGTTTTGCCTTTGATTGTATTAAGAACATTACTTTGCAATGATGCTTACTACAGTTTCCCTCTGATCTGGAAGAAAGTGCAAGAATCTTCCCACTGTGCTCTCCTCTCCACTCTGAAGGCAGAGACAGTTACCAAGGTCAAGTGGATCTCTGAGGGGCTCTGTGCTTCTCCATTTGAGTCTAAGGAGCATTCACCTCTTGGTCAGTCATCTCCCCTGTGAGTGTGGGGAACTATGTGCCGAGAAGAAAATGTTTTCTGGTCTTTATTTGTCTTCACTTTATTTGAGTTCTATGGTTTAGGAATGGCTTATTATAGTCCAGTATTTCTTCTTGCTTTCTGTTTAGTTATCTGTGGTGCCTCTCTCTTGAATTCTTAAATCTTAATGAAAGTAGCTTTGAATGTGAATCACATATGTTAAATAACAAATTCGGCCCTTCACTTTGGGCCCACTAAAAATTGTGATTGCTTAGTCCAGCCTCATGTGTACAGGGCAATCATCTCCTTATGAGACAAGAAGGAAGAAATATTTATTTACTACCGTCGTAATGAAAAGGTAAATTCTTCCCATTTACGTGTTCTTTCTAGACATTCATTAAGCACTAAGTAGAACACAAAAAGTTTTCATAGTTAAAATTGTACTGTATCCCCCCCCAAAATTAGATGACATTCAATATAATTCTTGAGCTGAGATTATTATTACTGTTTGTGCAAAATACCCAGCGGATGAGATGCAGAAATATATCATGAGCTTATAAACGCCTCTTAAAGTTTTGTGAAAAGCATTAGGAACAACTTTTGGACCTGTAGAGTCAGAAGAAAACTTGAGCTGGCCATGTGGTCTTGAAAATAATGTATAGTATTTCCACAAATCAAGCTGAAGTGGTAGACTTGCCCATAACTTTTAGCGGGTTTTTTTTTTAGTTTTATGAATATCGGTGGAAAAAAATGATTTTTCCAGAAATAAAAACAAAATTACTTTATCCAGTGTTTTTCTCCCTCTGGAGAGACTGAAGTAGGAACCAAGCTACCTGTTCTATCACTTAAGACTTCCAGCATTCCTGACTTTCAAACAAAGACATGTCTGTTGCCACTGCTTTAAAATAGAAAGGAAACTTGGAGTGATGAAAGAAAACCAGGATTTGGTCCAGTTCAAATTTTTCCTTATGAATTAGTTATTCAAACTCTCCTGTTGATATTACTTAATATTGTGATAATTAACATTTTTAATTTGCCATATTACATTCAATTTTAAGGGTATGATTTTTTTGTTCTTAATTTTTGTTTACTTCTTTAGTGTGTAACTAAAGGAATTTTCCATGCCAGGAACTGAACTCTTGAAAAAATTTTAAAGCACTACTTTAAAATAATAATAATAAACCTATAAACTTGTTTCTTTCCATTCAAATGCTCACCCTTCAATGATTTAAAAAACAGGCTTTTTTTCCCCTTTGAAGTTTTAAGTTATAAACCATACATAAAAATTCCCTTAGAGCAGTGGTTCTCAACCTTCCTAATGCCGACCCTTTAATACAGTTCCTCGTGTTGTGGTGACCCCCAACCATAAAATTATCTTCGTTGCTACTTCATCACTGTCATTTTGCTACTGTTATGAAGCGGGCGACCCCTGCGAAAAGGTCGTTCGACTCCCAAAGCAGTCCAGATACACAGATTGAGAACTGCTGCCTTAGACTCTATACTAATATTTGTAAGGATATTCTAGATAGTTTTTTCAACATTTCATTAAGTGTAGATGCTAGAATGAAGTTACATAATGAGTTTGTTTTGACCACTAAAAGTTATTGTAGATTATTAGATTATGCTTTATCCTATGCCTATTGTTTAACAACTTTCAAAAATCCCTGTTAGAGAATTAAAAAATAAGCCTTCATGTATCTTCAATTGTGATCAAGCTGGTGCACTTAAACAATGAGGTTCTTTGAGATGTGAAGTTGGTAGAAGGTTTAAGGAGCAATCAACGTTTTACTGAGGACTTTTATCCAACACATGCATTGGTGACCCGAGTTTATTAGATTCTGGGGAGGACCGAGATGTATACTACATTGCCAAATAGGGAACTGCTCTGAACTAAAGTGTAAAATATAAAGGCAAGGAAATGCACACCTGGGTAGGTGTTCGCATATAGACACTCATACACTTGAAGAAGGGGCTGAGATCACTTGGGTTTTATTGGAGAATTTTTCTAGGGAAATAAAAGATGATGAAATCTGAAAACTGGATTGGTTTTCCATTGTAGTGGTCCTTTGATGCTGAGAGTAGGAGCCCTGTTGATTCAGTGGTTCGGCACTGAGCTACCAAGCACAAAGGTCAGCAGTTAGAAACCACCAGCCAGTAGGAGAAAGATGAGGCTTTTGACTCTCATAGGGAGTTGCAGTCTGAGCAATCCACAGGAGTGGTTCTACTCTGTCCTATGTGGTCGGTAGGAGTCTGACTCGACTCCCCAGTGAGTCCGTAAGTGTAGGATGACTGGAAGTCAGAATAGACTTGAGAGAAGTGGGTTTGTTTTTTTTTTAATTTTGCCTTTGGACTACACATTACATTTTTCTGAGCAATGGAGAAGCAGAACAAGGTTACATATGGTAAGCAAAATCTCACGATTTGAATGAATGAACTGAGGGAATGAGCAAAGTAAGGCAGCTTAATCTTCAGAGGTTGTTTTAATGGGACAGCGAATAATAACTCCACAGATATAATGGACACTGCCTTCAAATATGTACTCTGATAAGCAGAGTACTGTGAAGAGAAAAGAAATTGCCAGGCTTAACAATTAGCTAGTTACACAAGAAAGAGTCAAAGCCTTAGTGGGCGTTGGATATGGAGAACTAGAAGAATTGGGGCCCATCTAAAAATGGAAAATCCGAGAGAAAAGGCAGATCCGGTGGAAAGGAAATGCTGTCCCTTTTAGATTTGTGAAGTTTGAGGCAACGATGGGATGACAAAGTAGAAAAGTCCAAGTATTTGATGATGCAGAGAGGGAATGGTAGTCACTTGTCAGACATTTAGAGAGCATCTCCTCCTTTACCTGCAAATGAAGGCCAGGGACCACCCAGAGGGAGAGGTTCACAATGCATGAGAAACTAGAAGTGAGGGCCCTCATGGGACAGAAAGTGTAGGTCCATTATCTTAGAAAAGGCAGAATGGCTGTAAGATGCATGAAAAGAGGTGAACATTTGGCCAGATAGGTAGTTAACTAGGGAGAAACGGTTAACTATTTAACTCTCACTGTAAAATGTGAATTGAAAAGAGATTGGGGTGGTATCAGAATCCAATATGAGCCACTTACCTCCCTTATACCTTCAAAAGGAAACTAATCAAATTTGCAACCTATGAGGTGGAACATGTTGCATTGATGAACCCAAAGCTTTGTTTTTGTTGGTGAGTGGCTGATGCAGGGGTGTTGAATTTACTAGTTAGAATAGCAGAAGACTGACAGGAACCAGATAATCAAAGCCAACTGTTAGGTGAGTGTTGGAGGTAGTTGAAAGGTTTGCGATTAGAGGTGGTCTACAGGGAGAGTAAACAGGAATTGGGCATGGTGGGACATGTGCTCTGAAAAGTACTGAGCGTCTAGAAATGC